GATTTATGCACAGCACGGTTCTATGGCGTATCCTTGGCGCCATGGTACGTGAAATGTGTGCTTCTCGTCGATGACCATTCTGCGTTTATTTATTCATCAACATCATAATCACATCATCATCATCATCATTATTAATATTATCATTAGGCCTACGTATTATTTATAATAATAATACATATATTATGTATTTATTATTATAAATTATTATATATATATATTGTGTGTGTTGTACGTGCGGTGCGTCGTGCGTGCGTGTGTCCGGTCCGTGCGCGGCGCGCGCTGTGGTGTGGGTTTGTGTGTGTGTGTGGTGTTGGTTGGTGTGTGTGGTGTGTGTGTGTGTGTGGGGTGCTGTGTTGTGTGTGTGTTGCTTTTTACGTTCACCCACGCCTTTATCGCATTTCAGCACTTATTATCTATCAAATATTTGATATGCTCACAATAAATTTCGTTCGGTTACACACACACACACACACACACACACACACACACACCACACACCACGACACACACACACACCACACACACACACACACACACACTACACCACACCGCAGCACCACCACCACACCACACACCACGCACATACGCACGCCACACACGTCACCCACGATACATCACATCACAACACACACACACACACACACAACCACACACACACACACACACACACACACACACACACACACACAAACGTATATATTATATATATTATATATATATATCAGGAGCGGTAAATGACAAACGAGTAAACAGCGATTTTGCTACCTGATTTCACTACATTTTTGTCCGTACGAGTTCCGATGTGATATAAAAATACAAACTGCTATACAAACATGAGGCCTTCTTTTTGTTCACTGCGTCTTATTCTATCTTGCGTAGTATTACAAACGCCGTAGCTTCCTTCATTTGACATAAGTTCGTACTTTCGACGACATGCGTTTCACTTAGTGGGTAAGCACGTCGTGTTGCCAGGACACACTCTAAAATTGCACACCACAGCTCTTCATGAGCCACGTACGGCTTTTCGCCGTAGCCTAGTCAGCGAAGAAATTCGCCCGTAGAAATTAAGTTTTACGGTTGCACCCATGCTGGGTTTAAACTACTTTAAACTATTACTTACATATTTAAATCTAATTACATGCTTGTTTTTATCTGCTTTATCCCGCAGTTTTTTTAAATAAACCGCGCGTTTAAAATCATCCTGACACTACTTCACCCGCGAGAATCGCATGCTGTATGAATTGTTATGAATAAACTGACGCCCAGCGATTGTAGCTTTCGCACATGTGTTGCATTAATTGATAGTAACCGTTATCTCTAGCCGCGCTGTACAGTTGCCGCGCGCTGCCCTGACGCATCCCTGCCGTGGCTCATGAAGAGCTGTGTAGTTCAAATTAGCAGTGTGTCCGCCACACGACGGTTAACTACGTGGAAAACCATGTCTTCTGAATAAGTACGAATTATGTTCAAAACGAAGAAGCTACGCGTTTAGAATACTACCGAAGATAGTAATAATGACCATGTGAACAAAAGAAGCTCAGTTTGATATACATTTATTTTTATTCACATCGATACTCGTACGACAATAATATCTGAAATCAGTACCAAATCCGTTGTAGTTGTCTTACTCTTTTGTCATTATACGATCCTGATATATATATATATATATATATATAATAAAAATATATTATACGAAAGATATATATCGAATTATATATCAATTTTATTTTTTTATTAAGTATGATATCTGTGACCCTCGCGCCCGCGAATGAATTACAATGAAATGTCATTACGATTCCTAACTACTTTTGCGAGCGCGGATGAGAAAGGCGTGTTGCCATTTTCGTTCCGGATAGCATAGACCACATGTCGATGCAGAAGCATTAGTGTCAGCGTTTGTCACACGTTGACCTTTACATTATTGCATATTACGCAGACGGCAGTTTTACTCGGCGTTAGCATTAAACCATTATGCTTAAAACAGAATGCACTTGTTTTGTGAATTGTAAATTCAGATCACAGCAGGTGGAACGTAACCACTCACGTGGGCGCATCGAGACGCCATTAATTGGTAGTCACGAAACTCGTCGTTGTTATCGCTACTTGAGTGAAATAGATAATGGCCTCCGCCCTCTCCATTTAGA